TCCATGCTTCTACTTCTTATCATTCCCTGCATCGTATTGCAAATATGAGCAACCGATCCGGTATCAAATACCCAAGAATTAATATAAGAATTAGCAAGGAAAATGTCCGTAATATAAGCAACAAGTGTACAAGCTGCGGGAGTACCTTTACTGCCGCGATCCTTTATGGATTCCAGGTACAGCTTGCAGTTCCTCTTCCAGTGACCTTTCCCACGACAATGAAAGCACTCAGCATCAGCAGTTGGTCCAGCCTTGGGCACAGGTGGGTTTGGCTTAGAGATCTCATCTTTAGCCTTGCCCTTTTTCTTCTTCCAAGAATTGCCCTTCTTCTTAAACTTAGGCTTGTTTTGGACCGCCATCACATGGCTACTGCCAGCACCTTTCTTGATATCAGCCTCTGCTGTTTTAAGCATGCCACATAATTCATTCAAGCCCTTCTCCGCCCCATGCATATGGTAGTTCGCGATGAAATTTCCATAGCTGGGCGGAAGAGACGCGAGAATAAAATCAGTAGCTAATTTAGGGCCAATTGGGAAGCCCAGCTTCTCCAACCTCTGAGTGTAACCAACCATTTTGATCACATGTGGCCCAACTGTTGCGCCCTCTGCTAGATTGGTTTCAGCAAAAGCCTTTGAGACATTGAACTTTTCAGTCTTGGCTTGAGTCTGGAACATATCATTGAGCGCCACGATCATATCGTGCGCTGCATGGTTATTGTCAAACTGCAACTGCAGATCTGGTTCCATACAAGCAAGCATAAGGCAACTCACTTCAAGATCAGCATCACATGCTCTCTTGTAAGCGTTTTTCTCTGCAGCAGGTGCATTATCAGCAGGCTCTTGTGGTAATGGGGTGTCTAGAATTTCTTCCTTTTTCTCAGCCCTAAGAACAATTCTTAGGTTGCGGATCCAATCCGCATAGTTTATTCCATTCAACTTATCTTTCTCAAAAAATGAACGCAAAGTAAATGGTTGATTGCTAGGTGCCATTTATCTACAACAAAAGTAATGCAAAATACTAAGACAATATATCCAAGACAGAGTAAACAATATTAAACCTTTAATAGAATCTACTCCCACTAAAATCAATATCCCTCTCTTGAAACTTAGTGATTCAAGACCCACAACTAACAAGTCTACTAGTGAGCTTTAGCATCACCACTAGAAGACATGGTAGATTGGTACATATCACATATGACTCTTGTTGTTGGGTAGCATCTCTATGCATTGGTGCCCAACTACTCATGCTCCAAGGTCCCTAACCGTTAGGATGACCTTGTCCAAGTAACCAACCCTTCTGCTGTAAGTATCCGATACGAACCTGTCTAGTCAAGGAAAACCAGTGGCACCCTAATTTCATAGACCCACCATCGATTGTACAAGACACATGACAGTGCAAGGTTTGGGGAAGCGTTTTAACTTAAACATTGCCGAGGGATCGTTCTACTTCACCATCGCATGTAGACAAAAACATTATCGCACGTGAAAGTAGAACATAGTAAGAGCGGCATTAACACAAATATGACATGGTATAGCCCATTGTTCCTTTGGGGATCTCCATCTCCATCGAACTGTTCCTCATGATGATCTCCATCGAACTTATCCATGTATGCCATCCTTCAGTGATGAGTCCACCAAGACTAGCTATCACTAACGCAAGGCACTAAAAAAAATTACATAGTCGCGGATAGGATCATCACAGTTTGGCACGCAAGCCATTACATCAAATTGACAATATCTTTGTGGCTCCAGCCATATTGTCATACTCACGACATGCAAGCCATGAATTAATTACATACATGCATCACATACACATAAGAGCTATACCGGTCATAAATTCCTGCAAAACAGAGTTAACCGATTCCAACGTCTAATCTTAAAACGCCGAAAACACCATCTTCCTGGCGTTTTCGCAAATCTAATTTCAGCGAAACCGTCGAAGGGGTGAGAATCGGATGTAAAAAAACTCTCTACAATTCTCATATAAAGTTCGTCTCAATCCGAGGTCGTATGCAAAAGTTATGGCTGTTTTACCGAACATCACTTTTTCTTGCACCCCGGCGCCCGGCAGTAGATCCAATCTATCACCGTTGTGCATCACATGCGCTCGGCACTTGACCTAGGTTCGATTCGATCAATCTGATTGATCTCCATCTTGCCATGACTGGATTTACATGTATCACTTAACTCGGATGGCGGAATTCCGATCGGTACGAGTAGATCGTTACAAGACAAACACGGTAAAATCACGAACCATGATCAGAGACTCATCTACAACCGCGCATATCTCCATACGCACTCATCCGAACCTATAACACCGTAGTAACCCGCTCTGATACCACTGTAGGGTTATGAGGATGCTACGCTAGCCGGGAAAACAAAAAATTCGACCTCATAAACCAGGATCTACTACTAGTTATAGATCACAAGATTACCACTAGACGCGCAGGTGCAGTGGAAGCGACTCGATGTAGTCGTACGCGTCATAGCAGTGCCGTGCAGTTGCAAGGTCATCCGTACGTTCGTCCCCTTCGTGCGGTTCGTCCTTGTGCTCCAGATGTAGCACCTCCGAGGTATCCACACATACAGGGAGGAAGCGTCGCGCCTCTGGACTGCTAGGTCCGCGAGGAGCAGCAGGCGCGGCCGTAGGATGGGCGGCAGCGGCTGCCAAAAGGCATGGATACCTAGCCCCGTTGCCCACCCCACTTATTTATAGGCGTCCCTAATGAGCTCCCGAGTTGGAGGCCCATTAGTAACCCTAAGCCTTGTCTAACTCGGATCCAATCCGAATTAGGCTTCCAGCCCCTTAAGCGTGCGACCCTATGGGTTCACGCACACATAGACATGGCCCGAGTACTTCTACTCGGCCATTAGTTGATAGCGGTCTCTAGCAAGGCATGTCAACTCCTATGCGTACGCAAAGATCATATGAGACGAACCACCACAAAACCACATACTTGTTATTCCCTTGCCTCACGATATTTGGTCCAACTCATAGGTTAACACTTAACCCAAGCACGACCATGCATTTCTTGATCTAATCATTAGAGTCATCTAGTGATATCTCTCTCATATAGAGAGGGGCAAATTCCATCTTGATTGTCTATGTCTCATAGCATGTTTCCCGACAAACCCAAAAAACCACCTTTATAACTACCCTGTTATGGAGTAGCGTTTGATAGTCCCTGAGTATGTCGTTTCACATCTTGAACACATACAACAATCTCAGGTCTAAGGACATAACGTACATGATGTGAATAGAGATAATAACAACATCTCACGTTGGGTCAGTCCAGCCCCATGTCATACATGTGCCCACATTATTAGTTTGACATCTCCATGTCTATGACTTGTGAAACATAGTCATCAACTAATAATGTGCTGATCTATTATTCATGTGTGTCCTCACACGAACTCTGACCAGGGACAACATTAGAATAACCATACAAGTAAAAGAGTTTCACAAACAATTCACATAATTGCTAATCGATACAGGTTGTCTTTAATGGAAATTCAATGAACTCATAATATATCATGGATACAAGGCAATATAATCATCTCTATGATTATCTCTAGGGCATACTCCCAACACATATATATAGAACATCTTAAATACTTGAAAACACACGTTTGCAACAAAGCTTTCAGCGCAGTGCAACATCTTCTTGCTGCTTGCGAGAATGAAGACTCGTCGACATGTGGAGTTCACGAGAGACAGCGGCCCAGCGGCTGCACGATGCGGCAAGGAGGTAGTGCTCGCACGAGAAGACCCAACAAGGGGAGCGGAGTTCGCTGCGCTCGAGATGGCCCATGCGCGAGCCCACGGAGCATCCAGCGTGACCTGGCCTATGCGCAAGCTGCGGAGCGGGCCGGCCCATGCGCGAGCTGCAGAAAATTTGGTCGGACAGCGGGCCGGCCCATGTGCGAGCTGCCGAAAATTTCGGTGATCGGCGACCTGTATAGTAGGGCTCCCTAAATTGTTGCTCCAAAAAAAAAAAAAAATAGGGCTCCCTAATCGCCCCCGTCGTCCCCGCGAGCCGCGACTGCAGCAACCTTCGTGCCCCGCCGACCGTCGGACCATTCTCCATTCCCCTGCGCCTGACCATTCCCCTCGTGCTCTGCAGGTACGTCATCCATCCAGGACCAGATTGATTGATTTCGTCTGAGCTGCTCTTGGTAAATCCAATCCCTAACTTTGTTGGTTGGGTGGATCCGTGGATGGATGGATTGCTCGCCTTATCCTGCACAACCAATCGTCTTCCGTGTTTTTTTTTCTCGGGAGCCCTAGAATCCGAATGCTCCTCCTCGCTCCAATCCGTCCACATTGTGTGCCGGATTCGCTAGCTGCGTGGTTGGATTACTAATAGCCTTTCGTTTACCAATTTTGTTTTGGGCCCAACTAAACCCTATTCTTTTCCCATGTTATTAGGTCTATGTCATAAAATAAAAAAATCATCTGTGTATCCTGTATGGAAAAGGGTCCCATCTTTGAAAGATGGGCGTGTCTTTGATTTTCTCTTGCTTAGCGCCAAACATTTGTAATGGCAATAGGCCAATAGTTTAATCCTGTTTTCGTGTTCCAGACAGTTCTTAGTTCCATCACCAAAAGATCCATACCTTGACCTATAAAAGGCTGGAGGCTGGTTCAGTGGGGGGTATCAAAGAACAAAACCAAACTCTAGCTTGTTAGAAGTATAGTGAAGTAGCTTCCTTGTATTTTGAATCTATCTATTAGTCCAAATATCCATCAGTTCAGGCAGCAAATCCCACTCTGTTCTTCAGTCTAGCTGTATGTTTCCTTGTCAGATAGTTTAATTCTTGACACTCATTTCCATGCTCACCAAAGGAGTTGGGCCAAATTCCCAGGCATCGAAACACACCATAGGACTCTTCAACTCATTGGCCGCCCTGCTACTTTACAACTGTTTTGCTTACCTATCAAATCTTCCTGTGATTTTTTTTTTTCTTGACTTCAGCTTCTTCCATTGAGAATCGGTCATCATGGCATGGGAGCTCATTGAGGTCCCGGGCATCCTGAATCCCTCTCTCCAAGACTCTACAGGTATTCCCTTTAATTGCTCTCAAAGTTAATTTTTTTTCATGCTATCGTGGTTTCATTTTATTAAAAACTGTTTCTTTGCCTTGCCAGTTGATGTGGTGGCCGCCAAGATTGATCCCAAGCTAGCCAATACTCTCATTAGGTAAAGGACCTTTTTTCCCTGTTCTTTTGGTCTGAATTTGAAACATTTTAGTAATACTCTTTACTGCTTAGCGATTTTTTACTTAAATTAACAAGAATTGGGGGCACTATCGCTTTATTTTTATGATATTTTGGCTCAAATAATAGATGGTGGGATGTGCTTTCAGTTGAGGAATGGTGTCCAGGAAATGAACCAATATCTAATTTTTGAATTTTAGTAACTCTTATGGGATAGGAACTAGCTGTTGTGTTTCCTGTACTCCATTCATTTTTAGTTCAGTAATCCTGTTTCATCCACTTGGGATGACATTCAATCCCAATTTAGTTCTCTCTGCCAATATGAAATCAATGCTAAGTTCATGATCTCATGGCCCATGTTTGTTATCTGAATGGGGTGGTTGTATACAGTTGACATGTTGGTCTTTTTTGTCTTTGAATTTTTTTATGATGCAAACATGCTAATCGCTCTCTCTTTTGTAAATTGTGACACATTTTTCTGGGTTCACTGTTTGACCCAAAATCGTCCAATTTGTGTGATACCATTCCAAGTGATGTTTTCTTGATTCCGCTGCTTTCAGGCAGTTAAGCCAGGTATGCCCTTTGGAGAATCTGAGGCATGTAAAGCGTGTACGTCGACGTACTGAATGTGGTGGTATATGCACTTCATCTTGTTCTTTTTTTTTGTTTGCCATCTGAGAGCACTACTCACGGAAGACATGCCATGACTGTCTAAATACACATGTTAATAAGACTCATGCCATAGCTGGAGAAATGCTCCCTGGCATATCGATACATAAAAAACAATTGATTTTGCAGTGGAAAATAACCTTGTAACTGATTAAAATTTACTTTCGCATGATTATTAGTAGGCTTTTCACTGAGATGCAGGTTCATTTTTTTAAGGAAGCTGCTGGATGCTTTTTATTTATTTATACTATAAATATTTGCACATGCAAAAGTAATTATTTTATCCTTTTATTCAAAGGCGTCCTCTGCTTTTCCCATCAGAGATACGGAACACTTCCAAAGAATAAGGATAAGAATCATGACTCTAGATGGAACATAAACTGAGAAACTAATAATAGCAATATTTCAAGTTAGATCTTCCATGTAACAAGTAATCATGCCCGAAACCTTAATCTAAAGTTAGGAAATGCAGAACCACTACTGTAGCATGGAAACAAAAATGAGGAGATCATCGTATTTTTTATAAGCTAGGCTAGCTATTTAACTTATAATTATGTTGCAGAACTTTATTAACTCTCTAATTCTATGTTATGTTTCGCAGGAAAATCTGAGTTATCAATAATCCTATGTGTTTCTACTGGGTCTGAACCTTGTAGCATACAGTTTTCTGAAGATCTACAAAAGATAGTGGATACTTATCAGCTGAGTCCTTTCACTGCAAAAGTAAGTAATGCTGCCATCTTTTGGGAAGCTTTGATCTTGTCATTTTTATTGAAAGTGTAGCATATGATTCTGGCTTGTTGATAAAAGTTTCTTAACTTTTTTATATCTTACCACTCTAGATGCATCAAAATTTGAATCCTTTGGAATGTCTGGTGTTATCTAGCTTCCTTGTGCCCTTGTCATATATTGACGTTTACTATTGGTAAAAGTCTTTAACAGGTTGCCAAGTGTTGTGCTACATCAAAAGAGGAGTGGGAGGAACAGTGCAAACTTTGGCCAACATCTTACCATCCTGCATTTGAGTATGACCTCACTACATGTCACATTATGCTCTTTTTTTTTTCTCGAACACACAGGAGAACTGCATGTCATTGCATTATTAAGAAGAAAAGGGCTTGTTACAACTAGTTTCTCATATTACATTGTGCCTGTTGTTAATACATACATGACCACAGCCTATCCATGTAGCCTCTACTGGCCTCAGTGACAACAATACAACATGCCCTTAGCTCTGGCAAGGCACCACAGGAGTTGAATCGAGGATGAGCCATTTTGAAGATGGTATCATTCTGGTGCTTTCAGATCATCCAGGTGCCTAGAATGACCCCAGAATTAAATCTCTTAGTGCATGACCATCACATTGGATCCACCTTCCCTGCTTCACCATTCTGCAAACACCTTGTTGTCTTGTCACATTATGTATTTGCTGTGGTATTTTTACATCATTAATCTTGTCGTCTTCTAAAGATACTTTTGTTTATAGTTCACTCAAACATACAAGATTTTCTAGGCTAAACTTGTAAGTAGATAAAGAAAATAATGTTGTAGCTGAAGCCCAAAAGGAACTAATTGCTAGCTATAACGTTTCAGTTACCATCACAGCACTTCTCTGAAGACTTTCAATTCCCAACCAGGGTTTCAGGAAATCTGCCCTATCTGATGTTGAAACACTAGCCATCTAGCGGCATGGCTCCATTCTGATGTGCCGCATAGTCATTCTTTAGGCAGCTGCATTCATAAAATATTAATGCTCGTTGCTTTGACTTTGGCTGGTAGCGCATAGCTACAGGGCCTAGAATGTTTGGTGAATGCACAGTATCATGCGTGGGCTTCTGGTTTGTCTTCAAATTTAGGTCATGATTTACGAATGACTAATCATATCTTTTCCTTGAATATTGTTAAAATTTGCTACAGCATGTGATGTGATTACAGTAACATACTTTTGCATCAAATTGGCAGGATTTTACATAGTTTTGTTGCCTGTGGATGAAGTTTTACTATATTTTATGATAAAAATAGAGTTTTCTGTGGAGGCGTGGATACTGCAATTTTACTGAGTAGTATTCATGCAATTTTCTGCTCTCTTAGACTTCTATGTTAACTTACAGCCTTGATATTGTCCGTGGATTTCAAGAGGAGGAATTACCATCAATATTTAATTGCATGAAGACTGCTTTTCAGTTATCAAAGGTAACCACTCTCTGGTAGTCCTTAAACTTTTCAGGGGTATTACATAGTAGGGCCATGAGCTATTAAATTTTGCAGTTACATATCCCTAAACTTGCTAACTGGTTCACGCAATCAGTCAAAATCTGCCTTGGTGTAATATGATGAATGTTCATCAAGCATACTTTATCTGCCAAGCTTTGTTATTTACACAATTGTATCTTTATCTTGTTTGTTTGGTGTTTGATCATTTTTTTTGTTGTTACTAATTTCCACTTTGATTCTCTAACTGTACTAGGCGGGCAATGCTGCAATAATTGTTGATCCATCAAGCATGCAAATAATTGCAAAGGCCACGGACCAGACACACAAGCATGATATGCCTGTAGAAGGGAACGCGTTTTCTGAAGTGAAAGCAGATGTTACCTGCTCTTTGAATGAAGCAACTGATAATGACAGCAATTTGTCACTGCCAGGATCCTTTCTTCCTAAACGTAACAGTTTGAACATGGAAATCTCATGTATAAATCCTTGGGGATGGATGAGAAAAAGGACTTGTGAGCAGAAGCCATTGCCCTGTGATGGCTGTTTTGCATGGCATCCACTGAGACATGCTCCCATGGTTGCCATTGAAAATGCTGCTGAGAGGGATAGAACGATGTTCCCTTCTTCGACTTCAATAACCAAGCCAGATTCAAATGGCAATCCAGAGAACTGTTGTGATAATGAACCAGCAAAAAGGCTAAAGACGGATACAAAAGTGAGCTTGTTGCTTTTTATAATTTCTCATTGCAGTTGCTTATTTAGTGTTGCATGAAACTGGCAATAATGCATTCAATTTATCCTACCTTTTTCTGACAAGGTCAAATTTAAACATCAGGATAATGAGCAACTGGCATCTGAATCATTCTGCGGTGACTTGTCTGAAACCAGCAGACCATATCTCTGTACAGGATTTGATATCTACCTTGTTTGGGAACCATGCACAATGTATGTTCAATTTTTGTCCAGCTTGCACGTATTTTCTCCACTTACTACTGCTGATCTTACTTACGTGCTACTTTAATTTGAAGGTGTGCAATGGCACTTGTACATCATAGATTCAAGCGTGTATTCTACGCTTTCCCCAATCCTGTTACTGGAGCACTAGGTGGAGTCTCCAGGTTGCATGGGGAGAAAAGTCTAAATCATCACTACAATGTATTTAGGGTTTCAGTACCTGAGGCATACACGAATGGTTTGAATTATTGTTCGAAGGAATGCTGATCCAACATCCTGTTCCATTTTATTTAGAAAAAAGGATCTTGATGTACACTATGGATGTCATTTTTTTTTTTGCACAAGGGCTTCAGATTAGGCCTAAGCTTGTCTTTTTGTATCATTAAAATTTTACCTATGTTGTATCACTAAAATATGCTCCCTCCGTTCTCTTTAATCGAATACTATAGATTTCTTTTATGGTCCTGGAAATGTGGCACTGACCTGGAAGCTATTTTGTGTTTACTGTACACAATTATGCTTTGAGGTGTTCGCAGATGTTGAATTAGCCGTGCAGTGTATTATAGTCCAACGGAGTGGTTTAGAAATTTTATTTGTTGTATGCAACTTTTGAGCCAAGCGTCTCAGCCCAGCCCTTTTCTCTAGAGACTTTGCCAGTGTAAATCTGCAGAATGAAGAATGTCAGGCAAGAAGCAACATGAAAAATACCCCACTTCTATAAAAACAGCAGTCCAGCAAACTCCCATAAAAAAACAAAACTCATTTTTGACTAGTCAAATTTTTTTAATTTGACTAAACATTTATAAAAAGAACGAATGCTTTTGATAGGGCGTACGTCCAAACGGACCTCGCCCGCTCGTAGAACGATCCCGCCCTCTCCCACGCTGCCCCCGCTCCTGTCGTGCGCTCCTGCCACGCGTCACCCCGCATGCCCCCGCTCAAACTCGCGCCTCCCATTACGGTCGTACTCCATCCGACTACCGCAGACCCTGTTGAGGTCTGTGCCACCGACGGGCTCCACACCGGCGACCTCCGCGCCACTCCGTAGCATCAAGTTCCACGCCGGCATCGAGCTCCGCCTAGATTAGCCTCCATTTTCGTCCAAGCAGCAAGTAGATGCATTGCGTCGATCGAGATGTTGCAATGGTTGTACACGTATGTTGCAAGCATTATTCTCAATGTTTCATCTGTTTTTTTATACGTATGTTGCAAGTGTGTTTATCTAGATATTGCATATGTTTCACATATATGTTTGCAAGTGTTTTATCTGAATGTTGCGTATGTTTTTGCAATGGTTTCAAACGTTTTTCTGGTGTTTTTTAAAGTGTTTCAGACGCATGTTTTAAGTGTTTCATCTGCCTTCAGAATTATGTTGCAAGTGTTACATCTGAATATTTCAAAAGTAGATTGGGTGTTGCAACTCCCTCCTCGCCTTCTACTGCCTCGCCTCGGTATCTCCTCCTCTCGGCACTGGCTGGGCATCCGCCGCCTCCAACCTCTCTTATCGATGCTGGTGACGTTCAGGGCGGCATGGGCCCCACGAGGGTGCGCGAAACGGCGTGAAAAATTGTTTGTAGGCGCGGGCGTCCGGGCATCCTATCCACGCCCAGGTGCTAGCAAGCGGTAATGCTATGTCCAGGACGTCCGTCTGTTCGGTCGATCCCGTTGGTGGGCCGCGATGCCCACGAACCTCTCCTATCCGCTCCTATATCCACTCCTCTTTGGGCACTGCAATTTCTTTAAAAAATCGCCATAGCGCCGCGCCTAGTCCGTGACCGCGCTCCGCCGCGCCTCCCGCCCACCTTCCTCTCTGCCGCCGCGCGCGGGGCCCATCCCGTGCTGCTTCTGCGACCCGCGCCATGCCCCCCATCCACTTTCGCCCGTTGCAAAAGGAGAGGCAGGGGAGGCCTGCGCCTGTGCCCCCATCCAGCGCGCCTTGTCGGCGGGAAGGGGAGGCCGTCGCGCTGCGCCTGGGGTGTACGCTAGACCCTTGCTCTCGACGTTCCCCAGACCCGAGCTTGCTGGCTACCGGAGTTTCCCACCAAGTAGGTTGTGGGCACTGGCGACGCTGTGTTTAAATAAGTGTTTCTGGCATTTCAAACTTATGTTTCAAGTGTTTCATCTGAATGTTGCAAATAGATCTTGGATGTTGCATATGTTGCAAGCCTATGTTTCAAGTGTTTAATGTGTTTTAGACGTATGTTTCAAGTGTTTCATTTGGATGTTGCATATGTTACTATGACTCTATATGAATGTTTCAAGTGTTTCACATGTTTCACACTCATGTTGTAAGTGTTTTATCTGGATGTTGCAAAAGTAAATCTCGATGTTGCATATGTTGCTATGACTATACACATGTTTCAAACGTATGTTTCATCTGTTTCAGACGTATGCTACAAGTGTTTCATCTGGATGTTTTAAAGTAGATCTGGAAGAGCACATGTTTCATCTGCCTCAACCGTCATGCTGCTGCTGCTGTTGCTGCTGTGGGCACCGCCGTGGGTCACCGTGCGAGCACCTGAGGCCGACAGACGCCTCCGCGGCACGCATCTGCAAGCAGGGCAGGTGACTGGGACCCACATGGGGCCTAGGGATGAACGTGGGCGTGGGATGGCTGCTAGAGCGCGGGATGGGGCGCGGGTGCGGCATGCGGAAGAGGGGGCACTGACACTGGATGGGATGCGGACTCGGGTCGTGGGATGCCGTGCGGGATAATGCACGGGAGCCGCATCCGGACGAGACGTCAGCCCTTAACATCTATAATACTGAGTGTGAAATATATTTTAATAGGAAGATGTATAGTGCAAGGGCTCTTAGCCTTTTTTCTTTCTTAGGAGTGTAATATAATGATATACAATTCTCCACTATGTTAGAGAAAAATATTTTTATAACATAAATGTCGATACTATTTTTTATAAGTTTAGATAAATTTAGTAAAGTTTGATCTGTTTCAAACATATAGAATTACATTCTTTTTATGGCTGGAGGGAATACGCTGGAAGTCAGAACTCAGCCATTACATCCAAAACCTCTGATACTTGCGCTGCACAGTCAGGCTCTGCCTCTCGTCAGCAAATCTTGCACAACTGCATGGAAACGCAACCATATTCTCACCTTTATTCGAACAAGCATACACTAAGCACTCATCAAAAGGGCATCAAGACACTCTAGTCCTAGGGCCTGGAAACAAGAACAAATGCCAAAAAAAAAAAACTGTCCTCTCATTTACACAGCTCACCGCAAACTTGCTCCAAAACGCATGCGTCACAGAAGCTAACGTCACAAGCCTGCTCAGTTCAGCAACATCAGCCAAAGGGCGACTTGGCCTTGTTGGACGAGGAGTAGATGGCAGAGAAGCTGCTACTGCTGCAGCTGTGGCTGTTGCTGGGACCCTGCCGGCACGACGGCGTGCTGGACGTCGACGACGACGTGTCCTTGGCAGCTGTCGCCGCCGCCGCGTTGGCATGAACATGATGCGGAGGAGGCGACGAGCCTCCCTTGAGGAGGACGTCCACGTTGGCCACGTCCTCGCGCTCGAGCCGGATCTCCTTGAGCATGGCCGCCACGTCCTTCATCGTCGGCCGGTCGTCGGGCGCCGCGCTCACGCACAGCAGCGCCACGCCCATCACCTGCATCATCTCCTCCACCTCCGAGCTCGACCGTCCCCTGAGCGCCGGGTCCAGCACGTTGGCGCGGTCCCTGCACCGCCGCACCCAGTCCACCACGTGCAGCCCGTCCGGGATCGTCGGGTCGATCGGCTGCTTCCCCGTCAGCACCTCCAGCACCACCACGCCGTAGCTGTACACGTCGCTCTTCTCCGTGATCTTCATCATGTACCCATACTCTGCAGCAGGATCGTTGTTCGTTTCTTCATCAACAATTTTATTTCATCAGAAATTTATTTATTCAGGCATCGAACGTACGTACCAGGCGCAATGTAGCCATAGGAGCCGGCGACGGTGTTGGAGGACCGGCCAAAGTCGCCGTCCTCGACGAGCTTGGCGAGGCCGAAGTCAGCGATGTAGGCTTCGAAGTCGAGGCCGATGAGGATGTTGTTGGCCTTGATGTCACGGTGCACGATGGGCGGCACGCAGTCGTGGTGCAGGTACGCGATCCCCCTGCGCGGCGCCGAGCACGATGCGGTAGCGCACGTCCCACTCCAGCTGCGCGCCGGCGCCGCGCCGCTCGTGGAGCGCCGCCCAGGCTGCCGTTGGCCATGTAGTCGTACATGAGCAGCCGGGTGCTCTTGTTCCAGCAGCACCCCAGGAACCGCACGATGTTCTTGTGCCGGATGGAGCCCAGCGTGCGAACCTTCGCCGAGAACGAGTCCCAGACGCGACCGCTCGTGCCGTCGCCCGTCTTGCATGTCGCCGTTGCGGCCGTGTGGGTGCTGGGCCACAACTTCTTCACGGCGATCACCTCACCGGTGTCGATGCTCACGCGGTACACCATGCCGGAGCAGCCCTTGCCGATGATGTTGCCGTCCACCAGGCTCCTCACCACCTGGTCGACGGAGAAGCTCACCTTCTGGAACGGCGTGAACTGCCATGGCCACGACAGCTCGCCGCCGCTCTCGGAGTCGCTGCCACCGCCGCCACTGCCATTCTTCCCTCCAAAGCCCATCCGCCGCGCTCGAAGTATGCCGATCATGCCGAGGACCATCGCCACCGTCGCGGTTACCAGCAGCGCGATGGCGAGCTTGAGGCGGTGCACGCGCTGGGCGTCTTCGGCCGTGTTCGTCACTGGGTGACCGTTGGCGTCGATGCTCACGAAGCATACGTCCCCGCCTTTGGTGCAGAGCCCAGCGTTGTCGGCGAGGCAGGACGTCGAGAGCTGCCGGAATAGCTTCGTGTCCGGGAGGTACCCGGAGAAGTTGTTGTTGGACACGTTGAGCGTGACAAGGTTGTTGAGCCCGGCGAGCGGCGCGAGGCTGCCGTCGAGCGTGTTATACGAGAGGTCGAGCACCGAGAGCTTGCTCAGCGCGGAGATCTTGGATGGGATCGGCCCGGTGAGGCCATTCCGGCTCAAGTTCAGCGCGATGTCGAGCCAGTCGATGCTGCAGAGCTTGTCGGGGATGTTTCCGGTGAGCTCGTTGTCACTCAGGTCGAGGAGCTCCAGGTTGCGGCACTGCCCGAGCGCCGGCGGTATAGGCCCCGACAGCGAGTTGCCGCTGAGCACGAGCCTGCTCAGCGTCTCCAGCCTGCCGAGCGCGTCTGGCACGGCGCCGTTCAGCCTGTTGTGCGAGACGTCGAGCTCCTGCAGGCTGTGCACCGCGGCGAGCGACTCCGGCAGCGGCCCGGTGAGCGAGTTGTTGCTGAGGTCAAGCATCTGGAGCTGCGAGCAGTTTCCCAGCTCGGCCGGCACCGGCCCGGCCAGCCGGTTGCTCCCGAGGTCGAGGAAGTTGATGCTCTTCATGCCGGACACGGAAGCCGGGATTGACCCGGCAATGCGGTTGCTGCCGAGGCGCAGGCGCACGAGGCTGGCGGCCTTGCCGATCTCCGGCGGCAGCGGGCCGGAGAGGTCGTTGGACAGGAGCAGCAGCTTGGTGAGGTTGCGGAGCAGGAAGAGGCCCGGCGGTATGACGCCGGTGAGGTGGTTGTGCGAGAGGTCGAGCGCCTGGAGGTTGGACAGGGACGCGAGCGTGGGCGGGATGGCGCCCTCCAGTTGGTTCTGCCACGCGAAGAGCACCTGCAGCGCCGTCAGCCGGCCGAGCTCGGGCGGGATGAGGCCGGAGATCTCGTTGGTGTCGACCTGCAGCTGAACCAACGACGTGGCGTTGGCGAGCTCCGGCGGGATGGTGCCGGTGATGTTGTTGTCGCTGAGCATGAGGTCCTGCAGCGCCGTGAGCCGGCCCAGCGACGGCGGGATGGTGCTGGAGATGGAGTTGATGGAGAGGTCGAGCGAGACGAGCGAGGTGAGGTTGCCGAAGGAGTCCGGGATGGGGCCCGTGAGCGCGTTCTGCCACAGCAGCAGCTTCTGCAGCTGCGGCAGCGCGCCGAGCGACGGGGGGAGCGGGCCGGACAGCGAGTTCTCGTAGAGGTAGATGTTGGTGAGGTTGGAGCAGTTCCCCAGCTCCGGCGGGATGGCGCCGGAGAGCGCCGTGGTGTAGATGGACAGCGTCTGGAGGCTCTGGAGCTGGCCCAGCGACGCCGGGAGCGGGCCGGAGATCTTGGTGTCGGCGAGGCCGAGCACGACGAGGCTGGACAGCCTGGAGAACGAGTCCGGTATCATCCCCGCCAGGTCATGGTTCCCGCCCGCGCGCAGCGACTCGAGCAGGCGCAGGTCGCCGAGCGACGGCGGGAGCTCGCCGGAGAGGCGGTTGTCGAAGAGGAGCAGGTTCCGGAGCGTCGGCGCGAGAGCGGCCAGCTCCGGCGGGATGGGCCCGGAGAGCTGGTTGGAGTTGAGCGCGAGCGTCTCGAGCGCCGTGGCGTTCCCGAGCGACGGCGGGATGGGGCCCGTGAGCGCGTTGCCGCTGAGATCGAACACGGCGAGGCGGCGGCACCGCCACAGGTCGTCGGGGACGCCGCCGGTGAGGTTGGCATCGGAGACGACGAAGGACACGAGCCCCGGCAGCGCGGTGCAGAGGCCTGAGGCAGGGAGTGTGGCGCCCGCGAGGTGCACGGACTGGAACGACACGGACGTGACGGTCCCGCCGGCGCAGGAGACGTGCGACCAGTTGCACGGGGACAAGGCGGCCGGCGACCAGTCCGGCGGCCGCGCGGCCGTGGTGTTGAGCCAGGCCGTCAGGAAGGCGACCTCTGATGAAGGCGCGCCTGCTGCACTGGACGACGCGGCGAAGAGGAGGTGGAGTAAGAGAAGGGGAAGGGGGAGGGGGAGGAGGAGGAGGTGGCGGCGGCGCATGGGGCTTGGCGATGGCAGTGGCAAGGGCAGCCGCATGAAAAAGTGCGCGGTGTTTGGGGGCTCGGTTCGGGCGGTGCACAATGGCACCAAGCACCAAGCAAGGCTGCTTGCTTGCTTGCTGCCCTGGCTGGCCCTGGGAGTGCCGGCTGGGCGATGATCTCAATGGAGACGGAAGAAGAGAATGGATTCAATGCAGATCGACTGCGGGGGGATCGGAGCGGAGGAGGGAGACGAGGAGGCTCAGCTCACACACTGTCAGTCTCTCTCTCTTCTCTCTCGTTTCTCTCTCTCTCTTCCTCAAAACCCTCAAAGGTGTTTGCTTGTGTCCTGCTCCTTTCTTGGTCTGGTTTGGTTGTTGCAGGCAGCTGCAGCAGGAGGAGGTGGACGATGAATGGGTGCTTGCATCAACGCAGCATTGGGCTCCTCGAAAGTCGAAACCCTCGCTGCAGTACTTGTTCTTTCTCATTTCTCTTGGTGTTTGGTAGTGGAGCGGAGAGTGTGTGTGAGCGCGCATCGGAGAGCGGGAAAGAAATTAGTGTGGGCATAGGGCACTGACAAATTAATTAATGGGACGGAGAGGATTAGGGCAGTCCCGTGAAAAAACAGTAGTTTATGTAATATAAGATATCGTACTAAAAAGTACTGTTTTTCAATACGTGGTTTCTATATATCATAATTATTTTTTCTTTCTCTGTCTCAACTCTATCTTCTTCTTCCGATGGGAGTGTGGCACGAGCCTCTAGAAACTGGTGGTTTCTCCCCAATGACGATTTCATGGTTTCTTGGTGCATTGGATCAAGAGAAGACCTGATTTCTTCATGAGGAAACCATTTCTAGGATTTTTGCTTTCTTTCTTCATTAATTACGTTGCCATGTTAGCATTTTGTCTACGTGGCAAGTCATTTAATGATGATAGAAACCATCATCAATACACCATTGCGACTGCCCTTAGTTAGGACATGTTTGGTTTTCATAAGTCAGGTGACTTATTAAGTCAGGTGACTGAAAACCAGTAACTTATAAGTCATGTCTGTTTGGTTGTAGATGACTTATAAGCTCATTAAAGGTGTGGCCCCCACGTGAAAAAGGGTGACTTATAAGTTTTAAGTATGGGTGAACCAACTTAAAACTTATAAGCAGTGGTGACTTATAAGTTGGTGGTGTTTAGCAAAATAAGTTACTTTTTTCACTTTTTAACTTATAAGTAGGTGACTTATTTGGAACCAAACATGCCCTTAGACTGACTCCAACGACACAACCCATACCCAAAAATAGGTCATTCACAGTGATTTGGGTACCCAAAATACGCTCCAGCGGATAACCCAAATAGACGACGCATTTTGCGTTCAGGGCGAACCGAAACGCAAATAAGCGTCTCGACGCAGAGACGACGCAAATCGGTGCCGCTCGCGGTAGGGACGGAGGCGGCTCATGGCGACGCCTGCCTGGCAAGCGACGGAGGAGCGAGGCCTCAGACGCCGCCATCGAGAGCTTCGTCGGCAAAAGGGGTGGAACGGCCCGGGCCCCATGGAGGAGAAGGAGCGCAGGGCCCTGTACGCCGCCATCGAGAGCTTCGTCGGCAAGGGGTGGAACGGCTCCGGGCCCCCATGGAGGAGAAGGAGCGCAGGGCCCTGTACGCCGCCATCGAGAGTTTCGTCTGCAAGGGGTGGAACGGCTCCGGGCCCCCATGGAGGAGAAGGAGCGCAGGGCCCTGTACGCCGCCATCGAGAGCTTCGTCTGCAAGGGGTGGAACGGCTCTGGGCCCCCATGGAGGAGAAGGAGCGCAGGGCCCTGTACGCCGCCATCGAGAGCTTCGTCGGCAAGGGGTGGAACGGCTCCGGGCTCTCCTGCCATTGCCATCGAGAGCGTATGTTCATCTTCATCGTGTTCTTAAGATACATGAGAGAAGTTTTTCTCTTTGTTTGTTTTTTGGCTTTGCCCGTCCTCGTCACATGCCCTTTCTTGGTGCTCCCCTGCTTGCCTACTTTGAGCTCCAATCCAAAACCGTCCGCGCGAAGGGGCCGCGCACCTCGCCGGATCTCGCGCTGGAGCTCGCAGCTCGGTGACCGGCCGCGGGGAAGACGAAGACGGAGGAGCAAGCGGCACCGGAGCGTCACTAGACGGAGGAAACTGGGTTCGCTGTTGGAGATGGAAGGTTTTGGGTGTGTGACCATTTTCCTGTACGTGACTCAAATCCTAGCAATAGGTCTCGTATTTGCGTTCTAGCGTTGGAGACAGTCTTAAGACCGGTGCTGATCGGTGACGAATGCAGAACAGGGTTAAAAGGGCTGGGCTCTTCTTCTTTCTCTCTCTATTTTTCTTCTTTTCTCCACATCTTCTCTCTCACCCTCCCCATATTTCCAGCCCCCTTGAGAACTGCCCCTGGTGCTGATGTGTGCCCTTCAGCTAGCCATTGTGTTGTAGTATTTGGGTAATTTCTATACATGCAAATTGCAACGCAATGCTACCACGAGTTCACCACAAGTGTGGTGGCCAAGCATCGTGGCCCTACGTGGTGGATGTGTGACGGCCAAAAGTGGTACAAGTAGTTGACTAATCCCACCAAACGTGAGGGTAATGGATTTTCTATATGTATATGCAATATATATGCATGCTCGTGCAGGGAAAAATACTAGTACAAGCCTAGGCCCTCCTTTCAAATCCGGCAAATCTCATCAATTACTACAACAACTTTACAATTACTATTTCACTAGCTTAAACCCGATGCTATGTCTTGGTTTGAAAACAAAAATAGGTACAAATTAACTGCTGATCTAGACCGGCAAACTTTTGATAATGAACAACCTGAAGTTGCGCAATCAGCATTTTTTTTTGATAAATTTGCTTATTCTGAATGAAGACCCAGCAGTTGAAACCACCTACTAGTAGATATATAAAAAGAACTCAAAAACATTTTCCAACTGAATGTACATTTTGTTTGATTCCTACGTGCACTCTTACATTGATATTAAAAAAAAACAGAGTACGGACCTGCAGGCCTGTCCCTCCCTAACCCAGTAATAATCAGTCCAGTAGTGTAATGTTAGCATAGAGATGTCAAGGCCTTGTTTAGTTGGCGAATTTATTTGGAAAATGGTATTATAGTATTTTCGTTGTTATTTGATAATTAGTGTCTAATTATAGTCTAATTAGGCTTAAAAGATTCGTCTCGTGAATTTCGTCTAAACTGTGTAATTCATTTTATTTTTTATTTATATTTAATGCTTCATGCATCTGTTCAAAAATTCGATGTGACGGAGAAATCTTGAAAAATTTTGTAAAATTTTGAGAAATAAACCGCCACCAAGATGCCGGCATGGGTTATTCCTTGGATCACGCGTACGTCACGCGCGCGCGCAGAACTAGCTGTTGCCTATGCTATGCTATGCCATATGTGCCGCTGCCACGAGCTACAACTTCAGCCTACACTAAACAAGATTAAGGCTCTTTTTAGCATAGACTCCTCAAATGGCTTTGGCTATTTGCCATACAATGCACACAAAAGTTACAACGGATAAAGCAAAAAAAAATAGTGGTTTCAACTGCTCCTAATTAATTTTGAGATGATAGAGAAAAAAAAGTTTCTCGCTATAGTGCACGAACGAATTAGAACCGGTGCTGTCCAAAGCTCTACCAAAAAAAAGTCAGCCGAACGCAGCCATTTAGAGTGTCTGGGACTGCTCCATAAACTTCATCGTGGAGCAGCTCTTAAAAAAACTAGAGTCTGTGGAACATCTCTTTAGGTGCTCTCATAACTATACCATTTTTCTTCGAACAGGATGCTTGGAGCTAAAACCGTTTGACTAAAAAACGTAGAGCAGAGTACTACCAAACACCCCCTTACTTACCCTATGCAATAACAAGCAATGCACAAAGCTGTGCAAGGGGTGTTTTTTATGGCTTCTCTTAAGGCACCTCTAATGGTTAAAGTACGTTGTTATCTATAATCCCTATGTGACATGTTCATGTCAACTAAAGAATGTTTAGAAGGCCAGTTTCATTGAGTTTTATGACGTTTCTAAAACTGTCACGTCATATGAAATATGGATGAAACATCTATGCTCAATGGAATGTTTTATTCTATAGTTTCAGATATTTTATGGAGAGTTGGTAATTGTGCCAAGAGAATTTTATCACTTTTTCTCTCTCTTTTTAAAAACATTGTCATGTCATTAAAAAACTTATATGGGAACCTATTAAACACGAATAAAACTCACATAAAAATTCCATTGCAACTGGCCTAAAAAATCACACATGGACGGCCGGAGCCCACGCGGCAGAGTGGCTGGCGAGACAAAGTTGCTGCTCTGGTCACATAGTGCTACCACATATATGGAGACGAATATAATATATATACACCTCACCTCTCATGTCACAAGAAGCCACTAGGTCCTAAGTTTAGCTCAACGATGAAAGACTCGATTGGGTTTTGTTAATAGGATGACAACATTTATGGCTAATTAATGATTTTCATATGAGATGAAGGTTGAAGTTTAGTCCACAAGCAAGGTTAAGCTACACGGAGGTCATGAAGAGGAGATGGGATGATCACATGATGCAAAAGCTCAACAAGTGGAGGTGAATAGTTGAAAGCAAGGATTAGATGCAAAGGATGGAAGACAAGTGCAAGGCAAAATTATATATATAGTGCTTTGTCTTTCACGGGCCATGTGACGATTAGTGAAGTGAATTGGTGTCGATGTTTTACCACCGATAGCCTGCCACGGGGGTACCCGCAGTTGTTCGGGCTTCGACGAATAGTGGAATTCGGCGATTACGCAAAGAGACTCACGATTTATACTGGTTCAGGCCCTCGACTTGGTCGAGTAATAACCTTACATCCAGTTTTGGCGTTAGCCTGTTTGCGTTGTATTGCTTTGAATATCGGGTATGCGTTCTCCCTCTTACAATGGGTACCCTCACCAGCCCTTTATAGTCCAGGCGCTGAGAGACGTTGTTTGTGTCCTATTCGGATACAAGGTCAGAGTCCTAAGCTACGC